CCTTCTCGTTGAAATAGAAGATCTGTCTTGAAACCATTTGAAACCTGGAAGCCTCTAGGGTGTTTCCAATCCGGAGCGAAGCCTGATGTCTACCAAGCGGATCGCCCGTTCGTTCCCCACACCGATCAGGCACGGTTCCTGGACCTCTTGGCAAGGAATCGTAGGCCTTTTCTGCACGTAGCATGCTGTTCTCATCTTTTTCCCACGTGTATATTCTTCACTGTGTGCTGGAGAATTGATTCTCCTCAGTGAGGTGCTTGCAGTTGAAGGCCACTTACAGGATCTTTTGCTGGGCCCATCTATGGCCGCATGGCTTCGTAGCTTTTGCTTGGACCAGTCGGTTGACCTGCCCTGAGAGGTTGAGAGACCTGAACTGAGACCCATATCGGAGCTATATATGGGATGGGATATATAATAAGATACAAAAGGCACTTCAACCTCTATGGGTGGTCTCCATGGCTCGTACGGGCTCGCAGGCGTCGACGCGGGCACCGTCGTCGAGGCCAGTCAACGTCGGTCGCTGACTGAGTCTCCCAGGCGTAAAGCTGGAGTCTGGGCATCTCCCATGGCCTGGTGAAGTCACACGTCTTCACATGGCGGGAATGGAACAGAAGCGTATTCAAAAGAGACAGACTACGGAGGTCGACCTACCCGGGAATTGCCCCACCACAATGTCTTCACTGAGTCTTCACCAGTGGGAACAGTGAATAACGCTGATTCGGTGACATGTTCAGATTGGTTTTCCGCCAACCTCCAAGAGGGCATCACGCAAGCTGGACAGACTGGCAGTGGGTGGACGGTGCGCCATCCATGCCACGAACCTCGGAAAATGGCATGGGTGAGAGATCAGCAGTTTCCGTGTGTGTATGGATGTGACTCAAACGAAAACGGCACTCAAGAAATCCTGGACAGAATGGTTGAGTGGGGGTGAGATCGCCGTTTCAGGATCATGCACCGCTAGAACATCCCTTCCCCAGTCAACATGGAACACCTGCACAAAAAACTGCGGTTTCTCTGCTCAAGCCCATGGCTGTGGATCAAATCTGGGGTGCCGAAAGGAAGAACTCTGCATCTGAACCAATGGGTCTGTGATGGTCTGTGGTCGCAGTCGAACCTTATCGCTCTCCATGCCTGAAAATCCTGAAAGTGCACTCAGCTCGCCCTCCATGAAACGAGCCGCTGTTTCAAGAGGCTCTTGAAGAGCTCTGCCAGCGTCGCGTCCTGCGCTGCTGCACTGCGTGGCTACACTCGTTATGGTGTCCATCTGATTGATGTTGACATTGAACGATAAATGCCGGTTCACCAAATTGGACTGGTAGAAAATACCTGGACCACCCATGACCACCCAGCGTACAGCATAATATAGAATGATCTGCTCAATATGTGGGTTGAGCACTTTTGGAGGTGGTATTCACCAGGTATAGGTATACAGTATAAGTTCCAATTTAGAAGGCTGAGATAGGCTGAGGGTGAACACAGAATGTAGAAATCATGTACAGTAGGTGGTACAGTCCAATCAACGGAACACGAGTCTGACGCTTTCACATCTCCACCTCTTTTGAGATGATTCCACAGCCCATCCGACGGTGTTCATATATCCACTAGTGGACCTCCAAGTGGTTCAGGTTGGGGAACCAAGTCTGGGAAGTCTACATCAAGAGACAGCACAAGGATCCACAAGGGGGCAGGACCTTGTAATGTAGATCTATCTTGCCGGTTGATTGATCAACCCCGCCCTTGTGAAGAAGCGTTAAATCCAAATAAAGGAAGGCTTATTCATCAACAGTCTACATTCAGCTAAAACTGCCAGTCTTCCAAACATGGTGGCGCAGTTCTGCCACTTCTCCCATGGACGAGACTGTGCACACAAGCATCTCAGATCCTTGTTGCCACGATTTAAGAAACAGAAAAAAACCAGAGTTTCTGAGTCTACGCCCCAATCTCCGAAACAAGTTCAACACTTCTCAAATCAGGAGCAAGGGCCGAATTATGGACTGTATACCTGGAACTTCCTCAGTGTGTTGTCTTCAATCTGCGGTGTGAAAACACTCTTGTTGAGTCATTGCCTTACCAGTTCGAGTCTGCGGATGTTTCTCTAGTTTTCTGATATTCCACGGGCGTTTATACACAAGATACGCCATCGAAAATGATCGGATGGGTACTCTATGTATAAGATGTCTATATATAATAATGGTCTATAATACAATACCTAAATTAAAAAGAAACAAACTGAAACATCCTAAAGCCTGAGTGACCTCTAGACTTGGATCACCAACCACCCAAAATATGATATGTTCATATCTTTTCATATCTAGTCCTATCAAAACAAGGGTCATGTCTGGGTTCTAGGCCAATCAACATGATCATACATGAGCCATTGACAATTGAATGCAACTACTAATGCAAATGCAAACTCAAATGCTCAAATGTCCTGGGATGGCATCCTGGTCATGCCATCCCAAGACATTCAATTCATGTTATTCTCCGGGTTTTCCCGCCTCATCTGCGGCTGCGCGCAGCGCCATTGGCAGCAAAGGTGCTCGCAGCACCTACGAGGTGTGGGGAGCTGGCTGCGGGGCCGACGAATTCAGGCATGAACCTTGATGTGGATTGGTTTCAGGATGTCAATGTTTTGATTAACAGGTTGTTATACGTGTGCATTCTTGCTATGTTTTCCAACAGGAACAGCTTTGTGACGCGATGTTCCCCATCTTCTCCCAGCTTGCAAAACCATCGCTGTCCAATCGCACCACGAAAAAGTGATGCACCGAAGTCCACCCCGTCCTCCAAGTCCAGAGCGGATGGGACTTCGGTTCGGTCGCACCTCTGCGAAAGCGGTGGAGGCCTGTGGTGTCAGCAGAGGTGGTCCGTCTCCCAAATCGGAACAAGGGTCAGTAAGGACACAGACATAAAATGGGGGTAGTAGTATAGTATTGTGTATACACCCCACCAGACCTTACCTCTGACAAAACCTCCAACCTTGGCCAATCCCACCATGTCTGAGAATGGGGAACCCTGGAAGGGGGTACTACAAGTCTTTGGATGTCCCCTCCCACAGACCCTTCGTCCATGGGATCGCGGATCGTTTAGTTGACCGAAGCCAGAGCGGTCGGTCGGCGAGGTGAAGAAAGAAACTCCATGGCACATGGACCCAGACCTCCTTATTTATCTTATATATAATTGAATATGCTCCAAGTGCAAGATGGACAAAAATATTAAACAAGTGCACTCCCTGAAATTATTATGGTTAAATGGATGGCACCTGGACTTGGCATTCGGAAAACTCATGGTCTTCCGAATCATCACTCATGGTCTTCCCATCCACGTGATTCGCCCATGATGATTCCAGGGCGTGTCGTGCTGGCCGTTGTCTCTGCAACGAGTCTCCTGCCTCCGACCCGACTTCGGCACGACGGCTGAAAGGCACCGCTTTCCAAATCAGTTTTCATTGAGAAAGTGACACTCCAAACGTGTCGCGCTTTTGACCCGGTCCGAAAACGACACCCGTGAACGAGCGACGTTCCTTACACCCCGTTCCCAGGTCCGCGATGCCAACTTTTGCTTTCGCTTTGGAACCCCATGCGCACCGGGTCTCCTCCGTCCCCGGCGTCAGGTGAAACGCAGTATGATCGCGACCGTCACATGGAGCGCGCGCGAGTTCGACGTGCGCGGAGCGGTCGGTTCAAGATCCTCCGGCCACCGTGAGAGGAATGCCCCCCTGTCAAGCACAGGCTGCTTGTATCATGTAGGATGTTCCAGTCGCCAATGGACACAAATGTGTCTTCCCGAGGTCTTTGGTGGGTTGAGAAACCGCCTTTCTTTTCTGGTCACCGATATCTGAACACATGTGTTCATTCATGTGGATCCGAAATGCTCCAAACATCCACGGACGCCCCCCTGAATACCCGGCCGGGCTACCCGTGGAGTCAGTTCGAACAAAGTATATAGAAACAGCTCCAGTCTGGATGAAGTCGGTGATAGCTTCTCGAAGGCGTGTAAACATCACGCACTCCTGCCACAGAACTTCTCTGATCCTGTGGGGAAAAATGCTGCCATGCTGCTTGCCACCAGCTGATTCACAAGTCGTGATGACTCGGTTCACGGGTCCTCTCGCCGGCAGCCTACTGCCTCTTCCTTCTCTAGTTGTGCCTTCCGGTGTTCGCTTCCAATGCACTCATGCGCACTTGAAACCGGCCGAGTTTATGGAAGACGGATCGCATGACCATGTTTTAAGGATGGTTCCAAGGTGTTCAGTACAAAACATAGTCTTTGGCAGAGCTAACCCGGCTGAACGATCATTGAAATTATATGCTAAAATCCTTTGATGTTCCATGCGTACTTACTTTTGAACTGAAGTCACCTCAAGATGTTGAACAAAGTCTTTTCGTTGCGTAGTCTTCCAGAGGTGGATCCACCCGCAGGATGAAGATGAATCTAAACTTGGAGTTAAAGCTAGATCACCTAGCCCTGGAATTCAAGAACGCTGGAAGGTCCAACGACTTCTTCGTAGTCCTTGGCTTTGCAAGACCCTCTCTCTGACTCAGGTGCGTTTCATCGAGCGGTCACCCTGTCGCGCCAAGGCGCCCTCAGCGGACGTTTCAAACCTCGGAGGTGCGTGGGGGGGCAACCGGCATGGTTCCGGGACCCTGTAGTAGAACCATATACAGAGTACCCAACAACATCCCCAAAACTGCATGCTTCCAACAACAACAACAACAACAACAACAACAACGACAAGGATAAGGACAAGGTACAAACAAAAACTACAACCCCGTTACAACATCTCTTCTTCCTTTGTCTCTAGTGGAAACAAGAACTCCAGCGCCCCAAAAAAAGAACAGCCAACAAGTATGTTTGCCTTTAGTGGTATAGTGTCTGTTCGTACTAGTGCTAGTACTAGTGGTATTAGTACTAGTACTAGAACTAGTGGCAGTAGTACTACTACGACGACGGCTACTACTACTACTACTACTACTACTACTACTACTACTACTACTACT